ACCAAGAGGATCTGACCCTGCCTGTGCTCGGTTACAGCCAGTACTCCATGATGGATGACGAGGAGGAGCTGCCCCACCATGAAGAGCGGACATGGTACGTGGGAAAGATCAACCGCTTGCAAGCAGAAGAGATGCTGTGTGGCAAGCGGGACGGCACCTTCCTGATCCGCGAGAGCAGCCAGAAGGGATGCTACGCCTGCTCCGTGGTGTGAGTACCCCCAAGCAGACCTGGTGGGATGGGGCTGGCGTGGGCTGTGTTCCCGCGTTGCTCTGCCCTTCTCTTGCCAGATGCTGGAGGCTGGTGGAGGCGTCAGCTGGCAGGCTGGGCTTCCCCGAAGTCTCCTCTGCCTCGCCTCCTCCTGCCAGGGCCAGCTGTACCTTTGGGCTGCTTCAGTGACGCCCGCTTGTGCTCTGCTGTCCCTGTCCCAGCCGGGCTCCCTTGCGCTGCGGGGCTCTGGCGTGCCGCTGACCCATGCTCCCTTGTCTCCCTGGCAGGGTGGACGGTGATACCAAGCACTGCGTGATCTACAAAACGGCGACCGGCTACGGGTTCGCTGAACCCTACAACCTCTACGCCTCCCTCAAGGACCTGGTCTTGCACTACAAGCACACATCCCTGGTGCAGCACAATGACTCCCTGAATGTCACGCTGGCTCACCCGGTCCTTTCCCAGCCACCAGCCAGATGAGCAGCCTGTGCACAACACAACAGCTGCCTTCAGCTTCTCCCCAGGGTGCTGCTTTCTGGCTCTGGACTCTTTCGCCCTGTATAGTTGAGTCTCTGTGCTCCTGCCCCACCAGAGCCTCTGAGATGTCTGTGACCGTTCCTGGTGTCCCTTTTGGTCAGTAGCTGAAACCCGTGTTGGCTGATGGGACAGAAAGGCTGGGCTGTTGACTCCCAGTGGGTTCCAGCCTCTAGGAGGTGGGATCCAGTTGTGATTGAATTGCTGTGGGCGAGCACAGCCCCCTCCCCTTCCCCTATAAGCAGGTCAGATCCCCTTCTTGCTGGCAGGTCTCCCCGCTATGCATCACTGTAGAGCTAGATTCCCGATTCCTTGGTGCGCTACGGCGTCTTTCACTGCCCCGGCTGAGCAGTTGCGAGCGCTGCTCCGGTCGAGGGGCTCCCTGCCTGAGTGCCGGAGGAGGCAGAGGAGGAGGCTCGGTTGAGCATGTGCATCCTCCACTCTCGCTTTCCTCGGTGATCTTGCAGGTTGCCGTGGTGTCTGGTACGAGGGGTGCTGCTCTTCCATGGAGAGACTCATTTGGAAAGGAGAAACCCCATCCTCTGTGGGGCTTCTCGGCTGAGGTCTCCGCTCTGTGCTGTGCCCCGCCTCGCTGTCTTGTTCCCTAGTGTCATAACGTCTTTTGAGTGTTGCTGTCTGGGGAGGGAGGATCCGGTTAGTGATGAATCTCTCACCTTTGTTGTGCCAGCTAAGCTGTGAAATCCATGTTGGTACCCATGTTTTTCCTGGCAGAATCTGTGGGACGCACAGCTCGTTGTTTCCAGCTGTCTTGGGCGAATCTCTGCAAACGTAACCCATTGAAGCTAACTGTAGCTCTGTAAATATGGTTCTTTTCGTAATCAGCTGCTTACCTAGTACTGGTGTTTGCTGAACTCCCACTACGATATGCGAGCACGTGGGCAGCAACTGGCCAGGCTGTTGCAGACTTGGGTCCTGCCAGCTGAAGCAGGAGAGGGCCGGAGTCCGATGCACACTACGAGCCCTACGCAAAATGAAGGACCTCTCTGCTGCAGGAGGAGGGTATCTCCGCTGAGCCAAGGGCCTTAGTGCATAGAAATGTATATGCATGATGTCGAACTATGTATGCAAAGCACTTATAATCATGAGTACTGTATGGAGACTTGGGGTTGAAAGAGCTGGGGGTTGCTGTAGTGCTGCCCAGCGTAGCTGGCTGGTGCAGGCAGGGATTTGTGTCGGAATTCAGAGGGCTCGAGGGCAACGGAGGTGGCCCCAGAAGAGCTTTAAAAGCTGGACCTGGGCTGAGAGTTGAGGCTGTGGTTATCCTGTCTGCCTGGCTTGAAGAAAGCATTAATTGTCCTCTTGATTTGCTGGAGAGGCTTTCCCTTTTGGAGACCGCGTCCTCAGGACGGGCTGGTGGATGCTGTAGGCTTTGCCGCTTCTGCTTTGTGCTACGACTCGGGCTGCGCCGGATCTGTGGGGTGCTGTGTGCTCGTGCGCTGCCTGCATCCTGTCCTCGATGTGCCATCTGCGTCGGGGACCACGCTGTCCCTCCTCCCCAGGTCAGCTCTGCTGCTTGCCTTGCTCCATGCTGGTCCCCAGATCCTTTTGAATCTGGGATTGCTGGAGTAAATGTCCCGTTCTCGTTGCTTGTGGCAGCTCTCCTACGCTCGACTGTACAGACCCCATTCCCTGCTCCGCCTGTCCTCTCTGACCCTTGGACCAGTTTTTTTGGTTCCCTCCAGTTTGTCGGGTTTGGCGCTGTGAGGATGCGGGGCAGCGGTGCCGTCCCTGACCCATCGCAGCTCGGGTGCCGAAGTGCCACGGAAGGGGCAGGCGATGGGTCAGGGGAGCTGTGGGACACACAGCCCAGGAGAGACTGCATTTGGCTTTGGCGATCCCTTGGGAAAAGCTGTTGGGGATAATTAAGGGAATAGTTTAGACTGAGATGCATGAGTGATGAGGGCAGAGGGGAGTGGGGCAGGGAGGCCTGGTGCTCAGAGCCCCTGTAGATGCAGAGGCCTCCTGGGGTCTGCAGGGGGGGCCGCGGGGACTGTGCCAGCACCCCAAAGCTGCCCAACTCCTGGACCCGTCGCAGCAGTGCATTTTCAACCCAGGGGCTCTGTGCTGGTCCTGGGGTCATCCTTGCACCTCCAGCAGGTCCCTGTGCCACAGGGCAGGCTGCAGGCGGATGGGATCCTCCAGCCACTCGCCCCACAGGGATCAGGTCCCCCCAGCACCAATGTGAGCTCGGGGACAGTCTTGCCGGGGGGGTTTGCTCCCGGCTCACGCCTGCCAAGCATCTGGGAGAGTCTCAGCTTCAAGCTGTCGCCTGTCGATGCTTCATTTGGTGCTCGCTTTGGCTCTGCTGCCCAGGGAAATTCCAGCTTCTCATGATGGGGTTTTTTTTTACCCTTTCAGCTGAATTTCTGCTGTTCTCCCCATGTTCTCCCTTCCTGCCCCCCAGACAGAGCCTCTTCCTCCCCCAGGAGCATGAGCAGCTCAGTGTGAGCACGGGAAGGGTCCCAGTTGCCCCTCTGCATGTTTCAGCACTGCCATTCCTGCCCGCTGGCACCCATCACCGTGGCCCATCCCCGATGGGGCTCTGCTCGCAAGTCCTGTGTGCAACGAGGAGGAAAATGCCCTTCCCCAGGGCTGCCTTTCCCTGACGGTGCTTGACTTGGGTCCCTGAACCGTGGCTTTTCCCTCGTCTCCCCCTGGGGTGGAAGCCCAAGCCCTCAGCTCCCTGCAGTGAGCTGGAATAAGCTAGTTGTGATTTGTCCTTTGATGCTTTGTGCTCGTGCTGTTCGCGCCGCCGGATGAACCCGATAGCGATGTGTTTCGAGGCCCTGGGCTCTGCTTTGCTGCTTGCGTCCCCCAACCCAGCCACGCACCCGCGTCCTGTGGGTGCAACGTGGCCGTTCCTGCTCCCCAGGGCACAGCTTGGGTCTTGTCCTTCCGTGTCCCAGCTCGGCATGCTCCGTGCTCCCCTCGTAGCCCCCCCCGAGGGCTCTCGTGTCACCGGTGGCTTTGTGCTCGGAGAGGATGTGGCAGCTGCGTGAGCACTCCTGAGATTTTAGTTCCTAGGTATATGCAATAATAAATAACTTGCCACTTCAGCTGTTCATTACCAGCAGTAGTTCTCTATGCTCTATTTCTGTTGACGTTTACTAATGTAAACCCAGTATTTGTTACTGTAAGAGGATTTTTTTTTTGTACGGTACTTCAAAAAAAGCCACAAAAACAAACAAAAAAAAAAAGAAAGAAATAAACAGAATTAATGAAATGGCTGCGGGGATTTCTGTGGGAGGGGTGTTACACCGGGGCAGCGGAGGTGGGAGGGCGTTGGGGCTGTGCCCCGGCTCCTGGGCTGGGTGCAG